TGTAACAATTTTATGGGACTTTACAATACACACAGACAGGATAATAAAAGCTAATCCCCCAGATATCGTAATTAGAGATCGGATAGACAAAAATATGTTTTTTTTTCTTTGTTTTTTTATGACAATGGCAGTCCCTGCAAATTGTAATGTATCTTTTAAGACCTTCAAAAACAATATCAAAATACAAGGATCTTGTAATGAAAATCTCAAAAATGTAGTACAAGAGGGCATCAATAATTCCAGTTGTGGTCGGGGCTCTTGGTTTGATTGGGAAAATTTCTGAATGTCTTATTGACGAGATCCTTGGTAGCCTTAAAGAAATACAAACAATTGTTCTTACATGTATAACTCACACATTGTGAAGAGCTTTATCTATATAAAATGGATGTGCTCTTAGGATTTATTTTTTATCAATATGTTCAGTGGAGAATATCACGTCTGATGCCGTTTCTGACCTTACGTCTCAGATTTGGGAATCGGAAAGAAATAAGTATACAACAGAAATCAAAGAAAATAAATAAAGTAAATAATAGTAATAATAATAATAATAATAACAACAACAACAACAAAAACGGAAACTGTAAGAAACTGGTACAAACAACACCCTAACTCGGTTACAGAGATAGGACCTGTAACAATTTTAAGGGACTACACAATACACAGAGACAGAATAATCAACGCTAATCGCCTAGACATAGTGATTAGAGACAGCAAAGACTGGGATTTTCTTTTAAGAATGGCAGCCTCTGCAGAATATAATATATCTTTGACCTTCAAAAAACTATCAAAATACAATGTTCCTGAAATGGAAATCTCAAAAATATGACACACGTGGGCATCATGCTATCATATAGCTTTACAAGAGACAAATTAGGCCCCAAATGGAGTATTGCTGCCTTATATGAACTGGAGCTATCATGTCTCCACTTTCCAGTCTCGATGTTGTCCAAAAGTGCCTCCACGTCCTTGTGGGTGACAAATTATTTTACATCCTTTAAAGCCTTTCTCTCAGAAAAAAAGGTGCAAGCCTCTTACTGTCCTATCGCTATTTGCAATTTCCCTTGCAAGTGCTCAGAGGAACAACAATCCTTCATTGCACCCGTTCTATCATTCCTGGGTAAGACCTTCAATACAGCGCACATTGCAACAAGCCAATCTAATGTTGGTGATATATAACTTGCCACGAAACACTACTCTATGGAATTTTACTCCCAAGCTGATACTTCCCCGATTACTACAATCTTAACCTGTTCAAGTACCCTTATCTTCCCTACATATCCACATATAATTTCCTCTGTAACCCTCTACCTTAAGTGGCATTGTACAGGTTGAACATTCATTCTCATCCTATATTTGCCGCTATCTTTAGTCTAAGCTTAAGTGCGAATATATACTTAACCTTAAAATAATTTCTAATCCAGTTGTTAACGCAAAATTAAGCCTTACCCTAAATGTGGACACGTCATTAAACTTAAAATAAATACTGACTTAAAACTTAAGGGAAACTTAAGGTTACCATAAATCTAACTTTAAAGAGAAACTCATTTCTAAAACCAAATTAAAATCTCATCCTAAACTTGACGTTATCTTAGATTTAACGTAAATTAAAACTAACTTTAAAGTAAAAATTAACAACCGCAATTTATTTTCTACCTTAAACGTAAACCTGTTAGTGAAATCATCTCTAACCATAAAAAAAAAATGTCGGCTTACACACAATGCTAACTTAAAGGCAATTCTCAATTTTAATCAATTTTTTTCTTTTTATTTACCATGTCCTTTCAGGACGTAGGCGATCATGGCTCTCCACCTCCTTCTATCCCTTTCCGCTCTCTGCAAGTTCCTTCCATCTTCTTCCTATCCTAGACCACCTGCTCAAGCTCGTTAGTTATGTCATTCGCTGCTTTCCATTGTCTCTCTTTGCCTCTATTCGACCCGTGAGTATCAGATTCTCCAGGCCTTCTTTCCTTATTATGTGTCCTAGAAACATCAACTGCCTCTTTCTGAAGTTAAGTATAAGCCTTTTCCTTGTTTGTAATCTATCTAAGACCTCGTCGTTGCTCAGATGATATCCTTAGCATCCTTCTGTAGAAACATATCTTTGTCGCCTCGAGTCTCTTCCTCATCCTTGAGAAAATTGTCCAACATTCGCTGCCATAAAGAAGAACAGATGCCACGTAACAGGTCAGTATTCTTTTCTTTGATACCAAATACATTTTTCTATCTTTAAAAGCTATCACTAAATGTAACATTACGCTTCGCCTAACCCTATACGTTAGTCTTGTTTTGAATTCAGTGATTTCCTTCACGCAGACGATTTTCCATCTTAAGGCAAGAAAGCTCCGTACACGTCCCAAGAGTCACTCGAGGTAGAGGGTTGCA